TATAGTACCCTTGTATGTTCCTTATGTATGTATGTCTAAGTCAAGTAGTGCATCTTTTGTCTCCAATTTTCTATATACGTTTGTTATGTGTCTATCATACTCAGTATCTTGACCTGTACCTAGCCCGTCGTGGCATGAATGTACAATAAAGGTATCTCATTTCATTTCATTTCATTATTTACCTCCGGGTAGGGATGTATCCCGTGCGCGGAGGTTTTGTGGGGAAAGCAATGATGGCCCGCCTCAGCAGTAGCTGATATGCGGTGGAGCGGTAGGTAGGTAGGTGGGGGACGATGCCTTTTGCGTTCGCAGCCGTTTCTCGCGTTTGGGTGGACGGGTATGTCTGGGACTTGGTGTACGTTTTGCTATTGGGCTGTAGATGGTGCACTTTGTTTTGGTTTTTTAGTTTGTGTGTTTTAGTGCGTGAAAATGATGCATTTTGACAGCGTATGGACACCCCTTTTGTGTGAAAGTGGTTTTGTCTTTTGATTTTCGGCGTGTATTAAGTATCGTAGGTGTCGTCCACATCTGGTGAGAGGGGGTCTGAGGTATCGAGGAAAGAAATATTATCGCAGTTGTATGTCGCGTTGGGGTAGACTGGACTCGGTGTATCTTCTGTTAATGGCTGTAGATGGTGCAGTTTTCTTTTGTTTTATTACCTTCGCCAAGAATTGGAGAAGGTTATGTTTTCGTGTCCGTGTGTCTGACTGTGTGTCTGTGTGTCAACAGCATAACTCGAGAAAGCTTAGATGGATTATCTTGATATTTGGTAGGTGGGTAGGTCTTGATAAGAGCTCGAACTGATTAGATTTTGGGCCCCCTGGCGGCTTGTCATGGTACTGCAGCTGAACTTCAGGTTTTGATATCTCATGATCTAGACAAGCTAGGGTGACGAAATTTGGATGACAAGTAGCTCTTGTGCTGGGGAAGAAGTGACGTGAGTTTGGGCCCCCTAGCAGCTTGCTCTGGAACTGCAGGGGGTTTAAAGGACAAATGTTTAAAGGAGGATAACTCAAGAACCGATTGATGGATCATCATGATTTTTGGTATGTAGGTAGCTTGAGTAATGCTTGACATAATGATATTAAAAATTATGCAAATATGGATGTAATTTGCATAATTAATGAGGAATTTCTATTAATCAGCTGCATTCCATGATAGGAAGTTCAAGCTTGCGACATATGTTATTAACAACGAGAGAAACACAGGCAGATATCGATTATGCAAATGAAGACTTAATTTGCATAATTAATGAGAAAATGTTATAATTGCATAGTGGTAACTGCCTGGAATTTTATACTTGGGGTGTTTGAAGTTTAATGAAGGTGAACATAATTTAACATAACTTATTCAAATAAGGACCTCATTTGCATAATATATGAGGAAATGCTATAATGACATTCTTTGTTAAAATAAGACTGTTGGTGGAGATTATGATCAACAGATATAATTCATGCAATTGCGGATCCTATTTGCATAATCAGGGGGATTAATACATTGTATATAAGTTCTTATTCATAAAAGCTAACATCATTTGGCGAAGGTATGAGATCGTGGAACTCTAGTTGTATATGTGTTTTGGGGCGTAAGATTATTTTGTATTTCGTGTCTCGGACACCCCTTAGAGTGTGAAAATGGTCGCCGGGCTGGCTGCCAACTTTCGGGTGGGCCAATGGGTCAGGGGTCAACGCCCTCTTCCGCAATCTTGGATGTTTTCGGCGTACTCTAGTATACTACGACTTCTTAACTTACAAATACCGTGGTATACTGTCTCAGACGTTCTCGACATGCATTTTTACCGTGGGTACATGGTATTGGCTGCAGATGAAAATGTGCAGATAAAATTCAACACCATCAACTATACATAACAAACAACATGGAAAAATATACAATAAAAAGCCCGGACGTATAAAATCTCAGATTTTACTTGTTTACGGATGTATACAAAGAGTTGTTTTGCAAGTTTGTTTTAGAGTGTGTAATACAACTGTTTTAGAGTGTGTAATACAACTGTTTTAGAGTGTGTATACTGTGTAATACAACTGTTTTAGAGTGTGTAATACAACTGCTTTACAGTGTGTAATACAACTGTTTTAGAGTGTGTAATACAACTGTTTTAGAGTGTGTAATACAACTGTTTTAGAGTGTGTAATACAACTGTTTCAGAGTGTGTATACTGTGTAATACAACTGTTTTAGAGTGTGTAATACAACTGCTTTACAGTGTGTAATACAACTGTTTTAGAGTGTGTAATACAACTGTTTTAGAGTGTGTAATACAACTGTTTTAGAGTGTGTAATACAACTGTTTTACAGTGTGTAATACAACTGCTTTACAGTGTGTAATACAACTGTTTTAGAGTGTGTAATACAATAACTGTTCTTATTTAGCTACTGAGCGTCTGATCGACATGTTAGACAACCCGGATGTGTTCGGTTTCCATGGCGCCCGTCAGAGGAAGCCGTGTGTCCGGTGTGCAGTGGTGGGGACAGGAGGGGTCCTGAAAGGGTCAATGAAGGGAGAAGAGATAGACGCGCACGACTATGTCTTTAGGTAAACCATAACGGAGATTCATATATTCATAAGATTTATAGATATGTCCGTATGTAAGGCCACACCGCTTAATCTTATGAATGACATCCTCTGAAGACCCCCAAACTAGTGCGCGCGGGCGAATAAAAAAAATCAGGCCAAAATAAAAATGCTCCTAAACATCAGGAATATAAAGCTGGCATTGTGAATAGTAGTGCATAGCGACGTACACAGTAAACCAGCACATGCTGGCTTTTTGCGGAATTTAAGAATCGGCACTGTACGTAAATATGTACTGAGTTATGGAGTCATGGAGCTTTGGTGCCATTGGTGCCATCCTCCAGAGTTACCACCGGCTCCGTACGGCTGTCGCTAACTACCATGGAGTACCTAGGACTAGAACCAGGCCAGGCGTAATTTTTTTGAGAACAGGCGAAAATCAATGCGCGAGTGGATGTCATCCATAAAATTAAGTCGGTGTGGCCTAATCAATATTGAATCTTTGGACCGAAGAATCAACATCAGCATATGTGTGTGTGTCTGTGTGTATGTGTGTGTGTGTGTGTGTGTGTGTGTGTGTGTGTGTGTGTGTGTATGTGTGGTTGTAAAATTTATAATATTTTTCTATGTATGTATGTATGTATAAAAATATTTGTGTGTTTTTGCGCTTCCATATATGTGTGCATGTTTGTTAGTATGTGTTTAAATATCTTTATGTGCGTGTGTGTGTTTGTGCAAATGGATACATGCATGTGTGTGTATTATAAAGTCATTCTTTATTTATATATTTACCTCCATGAAAAATGGAGGTATTGTTTTTGGCGTGTCTGTCTGTGTGTCTGTCTGTCTGTGTGTCTGTGTGTCTGTCTGTCTGTCTGTGTTTCCGCAACTTTGTAGTCAGCATAACTTCAGAACGCCTTTATGGATTGTGATGATATTTGGTATGATGGTAAGTCTTGGAAAGACAAAGGTCAAGGTCAAGTATGGGCCTCCTGGTGGATGACCTTGGTACTGCAGCAGAACTTCCGGTTTTTGTATCTTTTGTCCTGAACAAGCTATGGTCTTGACTTTTTGGTGACAGATAGCTTATCCTGTCAGGAATAAGTGGCGCAAGTTTGGTCCCCCTAGCAGCTTGTTCTGGAACTGCAGGTTAGTTTCTGGTAAAAATTTTTAAAGCCAATAAGTCCAGATTGGAACAACGTATTTTCATCATTTTTGGTGTGTAGGTATCTGAGAGACAGTTGTACATGATTAAATGCAAATTATGCAAATTAGGACTTAATTTCCAAAATTAATAATGAAATTCTATAATTACAGTTTTTCATATAATGGTACTGCTATACATGTAATCTATTTAATCTGTGGCAGGCGGAACATCAACAGATACCAATTATGCAAATGATGACCCAATATGCATAATTAATGTGAAAATTCTGTGAATCCTTATTGCTGAATGATGGGAATTTTATACCTCGTAACATGTGTAAGTTACTTAAAGGTTTGCATCGCTATGCATGTATTATGTTAATGTAGATGTTATTTGCATAATTAATGAGGACAAAGCAAGTCCATATTTCATGGAGGTATGAGATCTCGGAACTCTTGTTATTTATTGATTAAGTTTTACCACGTACAATATGCACTGTGGACGGTATGGCGAAACAGTTGTTTCTGACATGAAACACCTTTTCAAAGCCGCCATACCAATAAAATGACAAGACAATACAAAAAGTAATCAAATCACATAATACAATTTGAGAAACAAATAAATAAACTTAGAACTACAAGGCCAGTCAACTTATTAACATTGAGGGATTATTGATTCGTGACAACAAATAACGACATTCATTCATTGCCTCATACAGTAGATAATGTTAGATGCATTACAATAACAATGATACACCTGGGGTCGATGGGATGTTATAGAGGTTTTATTGACGAATACATATATACCAAATTTGTTTGAAAAAAGTTTGTCTAGGGGTCCCACCGGGCACTTGAAGTTCATAAATTTAGATGTGCTTATTATATCAATGTTATAATGTTAGCAAGTTATTCACAAAATTTATGTTAGCAGAAACTCTGCCATTGACCTTGTTCTTTAGTAGTTGTCGGAAATGTCAGAAAATAACCACCGAATAAGAGTACATTAAACTTGAAAGTTGGGCTGACAGTTAATAAGGCAGAGAGGCTCAGGGAGGAGGGCAATGGTCTTAACTCTATTGATTAACAACACTTTGGAGAAGAAACTGTCTTATAGACTATCAAGTATTGGGTCAGACGTTTTGGGCAATTACTGTTTGTAATTTAGAATTCGTTAGGCATATCAAGAGCAATTATCTATACATATCTATACATTTCTATACATTTATTCTCTGTTTCTATACACAACATAAATGCAACATGCAGCCATTCACATTTTTTTAGATTGAACCATGCTCTCATGCAAGAACCGTTTACTAGAGATGTCGGCAAAAAGCTGTCCTTCTATATTTCCTTTCCGGAGTCACATCATAGACACCAGATGATCTCCAGTTCGGTTAGTGTTACACTTTATTCCGTTGGCTTTGCTTAGTTGCTACAGTCGTATTGAAGTGGAACAAATCCCTTCAGTCCGGTATGGAACGCAACTTCTGATAGATGCATTAAAGACCTTTATTGTAAATGTCACAGGGGAGATTGGAATCCAGGGGAATCCGGAACCCCCTTGGGGAGATTGGAATTCCTATCTCCCCTAGGAGAATCTGGAATCCTCCTGGAATCGATTGGAATTCAGATATTCAGATCCCAATTTTGTAGAAGAAAAACTTGTCCAGTCTCCCCTAGGGGAGATAGGAATTCCAATCTCCCCTAGGAGGATTCCAAATTCTCCTATGACATATATATTTATACGTGGTCATATGAGTTATTTAGTTGCATATTAAGAATATAAGTTGTTTTTTGCCATCTTAAAGGCACTCTATGTAGTTTTTTGCGCAAAAAATTGAAATATTCTAATTATACTAAATTTTGGTGTTATTAGCAGTTACTATCACTTTTCAACACATTTGTGTTATTATTTCACATTTTTTTCGTATATTTTGTCTGTTCAAACAGTCCTTCTTCAGTTCCCGGTGCCACCGGTTTGCTCAGGCAGGACAACAACAACAACATACAGGGGTTGCCCCCTGGGGTGGCTAATTGGCCCGGGCATGCCAGGCTCGATAGACAGGGGCAGATGTCACAAGATATACCCTTCTTAGAAAAAACTCATATCTTTCACATGAGGTGGAATATAATTATCAACTTAGAGTATTTTGTTTGGCATGAATAAACTGTGGTCATTATCCCTTCAAAAGAGATAAAAAAATCTGGTAAACGATTAGGTATTTCAGAAACTGGTAAGCTATCAACTGACACCCCACTGGGATGTAGGTCAAACCACTGGGAGTGGACAATACCATATGTGTGGTTTGGCCAGAGGTTGAATAGAAGATCATTCACAGTTTTCTAAGCTTCTAAGGAGCAAGGATGTTGTATTTTTTGCTGGGGAGTATAATTTTGGAATACTAATAGGTTAAGCCAATGTACTATGTAAAGAAAAGAATAAAAAATATACTTTTTGTATTGTCAAAAAACTACATAGAGTGACTTTAAATCTAAAACTAGGGGTTTTATCATGTTTACAATTAAATAAGTTATTGCTGTATAAGGTACATTCTACGGCGAAATGCCAAATATTTTACAGAATTGTAATGAGCAAATCTAATGTGGCATACCTTAAAGCGGCTGTGGGTTACTATTACAACAAGCCACTTACACCGGATGCTATGACTTATAGCTATAAATTCATTTTGAGATTTGGAATCGGTAAAAAGTAGTATTTTCTCCCGTATTTTCAGCATGCATTGCATATCTTCATTCCTTTCAAGACGACGGACTTGGATTTTATCACTAGATGGTTACACAACCAGACTCTTCCGGGATGTGGCCCCACGTAAGTTGCTAATTTACGCCAAATATTATGTTGAAATGGATTTAGATAAAATTAGACTGGCCGTCATTTTTTTATCATGTTTTCTTGTTTTCCATTGTGCTCCCTCCTGTCCGCAACCCATATTTATGGCCATAAGAAACGTTCTTCTCTAAGTTTTTGGCTGGCCTTCCCTCTCCCTTGTTGCACAGCAGTTAATCGCTACTATAAGGCCGCGTTTATGTGAAGTCACCCAAACCACGATTCGGGTAACTCACATTCCTCACATCTGGTCCACGTGCCACACATTCCTTTGAGACCGTGTCCGATCACAATTCGCCTGAGCTACATCTATTGTTGTTTGATGAAAACACGCAAGGTAGCGTGTTATTAATGTCAGAGGTCAACGACCTGCTTGGTAATGCCTCCCTCCCAGCGTATCTCGGCCGAATGCCGACGTGGTCCCGCCAGAGGCAGTGAAGCTCGCCCTAGAACGGACACATTATCTGATCATTACTTCTCTTAAAGTTGCTGCCACGTAAAAGTTGGTATTGCATATAAATAAAGAAATATCACCCCGTGACCTATCCATCCATGACCAGGCGAAGTTACATTGAAATCACATTGCGTTCAGACGCAAATCGCGATGCGGGAAAACCGATTGGAAACCACCTCTAGAAATGGTTTGGGATTGAGGCGCTTTCAGTGTGATTTGGAGCGTTGAGATGGAGCCACTTGAAACCGGCTTCGGGGTAAACCACATGTAAAGCGCCTTGGGTGACCACTTAAACACGGCCACAGCCCTACCAAACACGGTCTGGCTCCTTGCAACGGTGCCAAAAGTTCATTTCTTACATGTATATGTTGTTTCCCATCGGTATTTAAGGTTACACGTAGCCACCTCTGGACCATAACATTCAAAGAAAAAAAAAAAACCCTCCAAAAACCAACATTATGGAACATATGGACATTATATATTCCATGGGATGCTAAAAAAAGGTTGACAACCCACTAGGGGTGGGGTCATAAGTCCCTAACCGAGAGTTTGTGTAAACACAGACTACATAATATTAAAAGAAACATCAATCTTAACCAATGAACAAAGTCATCTTTCGTAACTATATCTTTCATTCACTACATATTTTTATCAAGGCATCATGGTGCAAACTATTTGTAACAATTCCAATAGATACTCGCAAACAAATACGCAACAATACCCAATATCTGCTCATAGTAACACGCTTACCACACGGCTACTTAATCTACGGCATATTCCACATGATTAGAGGTTTTTTTTAAATATGTACCTGCAAACATGTAAAACCGATTGACCACTATATTCTTGCATGGGGTAAATTTCCTTTACAAGTAATTGGTGCTTGTTAATATCTTTAGGTGTAAACGGACCCTTAACACTAACCTCAACCGCACAACGATGAAGGTTACACATCCTGACTTTATCCGTTACGTCTTTGCAAACTACATGGACACTTCATTATCTTATCGACCAACCACAGGGGCGATGACAACATTCCTGGCCATCCAACTATGCGACGTTGTGAACATGTACGGCTTTGGTTATGATCCACGGTAAGGGCAGTTTTATTTTGGCCACGCATTGACGTACACGAAGTAGGTCAAAGTTATCACCTAATATTGTGGGATTTGATCGTATGGCTTTGCACAGGAGCAAATGTCGTTTTATATTAGATTCTATATATTTGCTCATGTATCACCTCAATAAAAATGAATATGTTGTTTGGTCGTGTTGGATGTGGGGTCGTGTGGCGTAGCGGCAGAGTGCCCGACTCGGAACTAAGTGCCCATGGTTCGAGTCCTGACATGCCACCGATCTTGTGGCCTTGGGGAAGGCTCTTTACACGACTTTCCCCACTTCGCTCAGGTGAAAATGAGCATTGCCCTGTCATGTATTTGTTCCCTGTGTTGGTGGCAGCATTAATATAAGTTGTAAAAATTTGAGTGTGTCGTCACCACGTCTGGTGATTACATGCTGGAATAACAAAAAGAGAATTTGTTGTTTTTGGTGTGTGTGCGTGTTTGCATGTGTGTGTACATGTGTGTGTGTGTGTGTGTGTGTGTGTGTGTGTGTGTGTGTGTGTGTGTGTGTGTGTGTGTGTGTGTGTGCGAGTGTTTATCTGCATTTGTTTCCGCACATGAATATGTCAGCATGATTTTAGAACGCCTTTATGGATTGTTATGATCTATGGTAAGTTGGTAGGTCGTTAAAAGACAAAGGCAAAATTCAAATATGGGCCTTCTTGTGGCTGGCCTAATTACTGCAGCAGGAATTTGTTTTGTATCTTTTGTTCTGAACATGCTATGATCTTTGATTTTGGGAGATATTTAGCTTTTCCTGTCACGAACAAATGGTGTGGGTTAAGTCTCCCTAGGAATTTGTTCTAAAACTGCAGGAGAGGTTATAGTGGATTAGTCTAGAAACGAACAACGTATTCTCACAGTTACTTTGGTATGTAGGTAGCTTATGGAAAATGTGGTTACATAATAAAATGTAATTTCTGCAAATAAAGACGTATTTTGCATAATCTATAAAGAAATTATTTAATCACAGTGTTTTACATAATGGTACTCCCATACATGTTTAACATGCCTGCAATCTATGATTTGCATAAGTATTGTGAAAATTATGTGATTTCTCTAAACCTTGTTTACGTTACTTAAAGTTTGATATCACTATATTATGTAAATATAGAGGCCATTGACATGTTTAATGAGATGTTGAAATACAAAGTTGCTAAAGGATAGGAATCACACACGCAAAATATGGTATTTTGAGTTTACAAAACAATTAATTTTACTAGGTTATGTTAATGACGACCTTATTTCCAAAGTCAATGTCAATGAGATAACCCCCCTTCCCCCAAAACATTATCTGTGTTGGTAGTTACATGTTTAAACTTAAAACTTTAGATCCAGCACAAAACATTTCTGTCAACTAGAGCTTTCGAGCAATAACTCTAGTGTTCCTTAGTAGACTGACCCAGTAAAGCGACGTGACAAGCCTCACTGGGACAGTCTCCTGAGGAAGACCAGAGTGACTGGTTGAAAGCTCTAGTTGAAAGTTCATGGCACTAAAATAACGCTCACTACAGCAACATCTACAGCAACAAGCTTTAAAGGAATTGACTCAGGCAAAACAAGGGTCACGGAAGCTGCTCGGCAAATTTCGTACCCTACATTACGCCTGAATGGCTTCATTCACTCACACTGGAAATAATCCCGACTCTTTTCGATAAGTGTGCTAAAGGTGTGGCTCTCCTCAAACACAGGGCATCCAATGCTAGTTAGTTTTTTAAGTGAAGCGGGCAAAGCCTTAAGTACCTTTACCGTAGGCATAAGATCGGTGGTATGGCAAGATTTGAACCCAGGACCTCTCGTTTCTAAACAGAACACGCTGCCGTTGCACCAAACCACCCCTCATATGTTGTAAATGTGTTTCTTTATTCTACCACTTCAGATTCCCTATGCACTACTACGACCATCGCAGCATCCCAGATCAGCGTGAAGACGGGGAAATAAAGGAGGGAGCTCATGACTACAGTGAGGAGAGACGTCTGTGGGAGAAACTTCACGCGGAAAACATCATCTTCTGGCACAGTCGTCAAAATGAAACTGTCGAAGCAGACATGGCTTAGTGGAAACATTCATCCTCAAATATTACTGCAGACATAAACGAAAAACCATTCCAGACAAATTGTTTTAGTTTTTTTTGTTTGGTTTGGTTTATTGAGATTTCCGTATCTGTATTAGTATAGCCGGTATAAACGCCCTTCGGAGCAACACACCATCTTTCGCAGGCCCTGCGCATTCTTTTCGCGGCGGCAGCTAGCTATATCAAACCGAACGACTTGGTACACTCAATCTTTGCATAATTGCAGGAGTTCTTCAAAGTTTCCTAACGATGATGCCCCAACTGTGCTTCTCTGTTGGTTTAAGGCTGCCCGGAGCACCTGATCGACTATGGGAGTCCTATAGGAACATTGTCATAACTCTAAAATAAGATAATAATAATAAAGTGGTTTATTGTCAACTTGACTGAAATTGTCCACAGCTTGCAGCCACCACAGTGGCTGAATTGATGTAAGGACATTACAGTGATATACAAGTAGTAGACGTTCAGAATTAAAACTCACACAGATACACATTTAAATACACACTAAAATAACGCATTGAAATAATAGTATTGATGATGTAAAATAACATAGTATTAGACCTTATTTAAAATTAAAATTGCTTAAAATTTGGGTAGATTAAAAGTCAATATCAATTTCAATATTGCACATAATGCATTCTAGTTGAGCGAGGAGTTAAGCAGTCTGACAATGTGGCAATGCTGCTATTGCTGTAACTCGGTTATAAATGCTTGAAAATGTCTCAAATATGGAGGAAAGGCAGAGGATTTTAACCACGTGCTACTATGTCATTTAAATATCATGAATCGAGATATTGACATATTTATTATGATGTTTTTTTTTCAACAAATGTTGTTCAGCAAACTATTCCAAAAGTTCTCTATACATGATTTATTTTCCATATATGCTGACATGTGCCCTTTTTCGGAGATGCATTTTGAAATATGCTCCTGTTTTTGAGAAAATGATTAATTTGTTCATTTAGGGGTATTATTTTAGGGTACCTCTTTAATAATTTCCCTATAACTCAAACCACTGACTATTAGATATTTTACTTGAGCTATATGTAGAACAGGACATTACCAATCATTTTACTTTATTTCTTATCATTGTAAATCATAGCTATAGTCATTAAAATTTTAAAATGATTTGAAGTTTGGACTATCAATTTTCGCCCAGAAAAACATTTTGTAGTGATTCTGCTTATCAATCATGTTGACAAGCCATAATTAGCACCTTCATGGGAAGAAATTATCTGTAATTTGCCCTTGTGTCTTGACGAAAGGCTTGGAGTTTTTTGTTATGCGCAGACCAATTTGTTTGTTTTAAAGCTTATTAAGTCAGGAGGTTACAAATATCCTTGCTCAAAGAATAAATAAAAGACGTACCAAGCTTAAATTGTAACTCTGCTTTTAACTTTAAGTCTGATCAATCTGCCCAGATATCACTGGTAATTGGGGTCCAGAAAATGTGTATTCCATTCAGGCTTGACGGTGTAGTATATTGACAATGTAGTGTAAAGTTGAAGCTTTGCATTTTTAGTTTGTACATTAAAGAATACTGATGAACACTTTGGCTTTTAATTTACTGTTAGTAGTTGACTACATTTCATCCGAGGATGGAGGTATATTGGGTATCAGCATTTGTGATAAAGTGATAGAAATCTTCATTACATTCCAAATATATTTTCCCACTCTTGTGGTCGGCCCGAATGTTTTGGCCGAGCTAAATTAGCGCGCAATTCTAATGCAAAATTCGGGGTGGTGCATTTGGGCGGAAAACTAGGGTCAGTTATCACCTAAACTAATACATATTCACAAGCATGAAGCCATTACAATATCCAAGTGTCTCATTGTAATATCATCTTTGGAGATATTTGCTGTGGGTAAGTCTCAAACTACCAGAGTTGGTGGTAACGAGTTCCAGTCTACGATAGTTCTGAGGAAATACGAGTTTTTGAACACCTCAATCTTTGGTTGATAACTCTGATATTTGAAGGCATGACTGTTTTTTGTTCTTTTCTGGGCCGGTATCAGATACTTAGTGGTTGGTACGTCCACCAGTCTGTTAGTCATTATGTACATCATGCACAGTCTGGACATTATTCGTCTGTCTTCCAGTAAACCCCATTGAAGGTTTCTTTTCATTTCCGTTACACTAGCACCCCTTTGATAGTTGTTCGTGCAGAATCTTGCAACTTGGTTCTGTATCCTTCAGTTAAAGGCATAGAAGAACCCACAACAATAATTGCTTTCTATACAAGTAACCTACTTGGTACCTACTTGGTCTAAACCCTGGAGTACTATGAATCCGTTAAACCTTAAATGTTAATATTACGGTGGGGCAGTCAGTCTTTGCTAACGGTCTTTGGAGTTAGCAAACTTGTTTGCATCAGTTGTACTCAATCATAAGTTGTACCCAGCACGTTTGATAGCCAATTTACTGAACAAAGTATAAAGGTATCAAAGCTTATAAGAGAAAGCATAGTATAATAATCCGGGAACTTTAATGCAATTGTGTGTAGCACGTAAAGGTGTATGTTTCATTAACAATAAGAAACAAGAACAATGAAATAAGAAGACTAAGAAGGCCAACATTTACTCAGAAGCAAATAAAACATTTTAGCCAATCTCCCTCCGCATAAAATTGACTATAATATCCCAAACACACAACTTAAGTGAAACTTTAAAAAATCTCCTCGAGACAAGTTATGTAAAGGTATGTAAGATTTATGTCAGACAATATGACATTCTTTACAGAGGACAGAATTATTAGAAGAAAAAAAAATTAAACAATATCTATACCAATGGTATGGATTGAAATTAAATAAATAGAATAATCCGCGGAAAATTGTAGCTAGGAAAAATTAATTGCAGAAAATAAAAGAGGAAAAAGAGGGATTAAAAGGGAGTGACATTAATTGTAGGAAGTGAAACATGCATATAAATTTACAGTATCTAGACAAAAAAATTATGTGCACAAGTCTTAAAACGCATCGAATCAAGGACAAGCTCTCTAAATACCATCTAAAATACCCCGGAATGCATCGTACTACCAATTAGTGCCTATGTTTTGACCAGAGGCGATAAGAAAAAAATCGCATTCTTTTCTGTCTATTGATATTTTATCAACGATTGGCCTTCTTTGTGTTCTCAATTGTGCTCCAAATTTATACCGAAAATGCTATGAAAAAATGCATAACCTAATTACCTTTTTAATAAAGCTACGGTCACAACCCGCCGTACGTGCTATTTGTCCGTACGTTTTTTGGGAGGCTACGTCTGCTACGTTGTTTTTTTTTTTCTGAAAGGAGTGGCGTCTACGCACGTCACTCGCACGGTTTCGCCAGGTGTAAGGGTGTGGTCTGCACGCCACGTCTGGCCGTGAGCGGTTGCGTGCATCGTACGTTGCGCAAGTTGCACATGGGTTGTACGTGCTTACAACGTACGATCTCTATGCGATTGTAACTCCTACCGTAAGGAGGCCGTACTCACACGTGTGTCTTTCGTACGGTACGTCCGTACTCGCACGCTCGGGTGGTGAATCCGCAGACCGCACGTAGAAAAAGTCTTACATACACTTAAAGTTCTACGGCATGTCTGCGTTTGCCCACGTTTTTGCACGTAGACAGCGACAGAGAATGTGCATATTTGCTTCTATGTATATCCCATGTGTTTTATGATGATATGTTCTAATATATTATATTTATTATGCATCATCATTATGCATAATCCCATTTCATCGTTTTGGAAACGTTATAAAGATCTTGTTTGCGTTAATATCGATAACATGCTAAATTACGCTATAACTTGCCGTTATAATTTATTGCTAAGTTTTTTTTTAAATGGTGATGATTATTATTCATGATTAGATATATAGACTACATATCCATATAACGATGTTTTCTTTATCTTATTTATAGAGCTTTATATGTCACTTTGTCTACGTGTACATTTTATTAGGTGATTAGGCTTGTCACTATTTTTATAATATAGATATATATATATATATATATATACACACACATATAGATATATGAATACATAATAAGAGTAGAATACTAGTATATCTCTTGTCCTTGTAGACTTCGTATCAGATAATTTTTTATCAAGCCTAAATATTATCAATGGTAAAAGAAATCATATAGATCCTATTACGCCTAACTGTATTTGAAAAGGCCATATCAATCATAGCATGGCACTTCCACAGTATAGCTGAGGTGTTCAATAGATAAGGTCTTATAATCTGTTGTCCTCTTGTTCAGCACGTTTAGATAGTTGTTGTTCACCTGTTGATTTACAGGTTGACGTAGGCAACTGCTGCTGCCAGGAATGCCACGATCCCCGGAAGTAGCAGGACCTTCCCCAGCAGAAGCATCCTTCGCACTATATAAATATTTGGAAAAATTGTTGTTTATGAGAATATGAATTACCCAATCCCTCTGTCCAAGCGGCGTATCATGCTTGTAACACATTAAAGCTACCTGGAAAAAAGATTTAAATCGACGTTTTCGAAGACGTTTCAAATTAAATACAAGAAAGAAACATAATAACATGTTTTTTTAAACATGAAACACAGCTTTTTTTGTCATTTTTGTTTAACAATGCATTCCACATACAGTTCGAACATGTTGAAACATGATTCAGGTTCTAAAAAAAAACCTCTGCGACCATTGTGCAGATGCACGCCCGAATTGGAACTTGAACATAAATACCAGCCTGGTGTGCCCTAATTTAACGGAATTAGATGCCCCGCTGCAGTATCATAGAAAGCAAGTCAAGATGGTCAAATATAAGCACCGTCTGATTTAAAACCCGAATCATATTTGATTTGACGTTATTTGAACCCAAACGACGTTCGATCTGAGGTCAGCCGCGTTCATTTACAGTAAAATGTACCGAAGTTACTGTCGCCATCGTTGTTGATCTTGATATTACGACACTTGTACTGGCCGGTATACATTACACCTTCGCAATACATGCGTGCAACCATCGTTTTGAATCTCTAGAAATTAAAAAAAAATTATTCAAGGATCAAAGTACCGTAACGGTCTTGCCGAAAACCCTTTTAGGGATTGTTTAAAAATGCCTTAGATTTGTATCATGGATGACTACTAGTATGTGCGAAACATGTTTAAAATGCCATAATTCATCTTTTTTTCTACAAAAGCTATACTTAAAATCTTCAATTAAAAAAATCCGATTTCTGATCCTATTTCCTTGCAACGGGAAACATCCTAGCAATCGACCGCCTTCAGGAGGGGCAAATAATTTACTTGTTCTTTTGTATTTCAGACATAACCATTAACATATAAACAAATAAGCAAAAAAGTCAATGCGTTATGAAACAGGTAAACGAAAATTAGTTAATGGTGTAACAAGCGATGAAAAAGCAGCTTAAAGCGCATCCTTTTTAATTGACATTGTTTACGCTTGTCTTAATATAGAGTGAACGTTAAAATTCACTCGATTCTTATATTCTATATGAGCAGAGCTTAAGCATGCAAGAAGAAAACGAAGTTGAATATTTAGAGAATGAAATAGCTATGGTTATTTTACTGATTGAATCGCTCCTGGGTGGAGGTTTCCAAACTGCCCGTGCAGGTTTCCGGTCATGCCTCTGTTTGCGCAGAAAACTGTCCCAGTCCGGAGGCTGCTGTGGCAGGAGGATCTGCATGTGGTTCCAGAACCTACAGAAACATGAGGAAATCATTTCACCGGAGCTTGTCTGTGTAAGGTCGTGTTAATAAGAATTATAAACAATTTCCAAGCTCCTGTATAAAAACCTATAAACAAAAATCAACACAATTTTTAGTTAGACAAGAATTCAAAGACCTTTTACCTCCAAGAAGTATTTAGGAATTAGTACTTATTTTTAGTTTTCTCTTAGGCTGTAATTAGCACAATGCAATTTTATCACCTTTAATCAAACTAGTTAATGAGCGCGGTGGAGGCGAAAAGACCAGTCCACAACAGGTGCTGCCTTTTTCGACTAATAATGGTATTACGTTACCAAGTACTATGGTGCCTCTAAATTGAAATATTTTGGAGAATGGTTATTCCTAATCTGTATCACTTGTGGTGTGTAATTTGGATGACAGCAATGCGTGAGAAAAGAATACCTCCTTGCACTTAGGCGGAGGAGGTTAACATACATTAAAAGCAAGGGATAAACCTCTATTTTCTGACGATTGTTTGAAATCAAGGTTGTTCTTAGCCAGCTAAGGCTTGACTGTTAAATGACACCATATGAAAATTTATGGTAAAAACATACAAGATTGTTTTGAGTTTTATTGAACAGCAGTTTGAAAATATATCAGACAGAATTTGCTAGTTTTTTTGGCGACGTCTCAGGGAGGAGCCTAATGGCACAATATTGTGTGCAGCTTACAAGAATTCTAGGAATGGTACAGGCATTTTGTCCACAAGCATGGAATGTCCACAGGCATGTCTCTGAACCACATCTATGCCCACATTCCTGGAAACCCTTGGGAAGACCTGTCTGCCCCAGATGGCCCTACTTTCTGTGACTCCGGGGCCCCTTCACTATACACTCAGGGGAGGAGTGCTCTGTATCTGTACTAAGTCTTTCTCAAAATCATGAAATTACGGCAATGCCATGCAAACAATAAACCTAACAGCAACCACCGTCGCCATGGCAATGTATGTTTTCATTGCCAGTCTTGTTTAGCCTTACTTGTAGTGAAATGTGTCTGGATCACGCAGCAGCCTGTTCTGAAAGCCGATGTACAGGTCATCCCAAAACAGGCCTTTCAGAACCGTCTGGCGATGAACTCCTATTCGGTTCTTAATCTGATGGACAATGGAAAGATTAAACCGGTAAACTTTAACATTAAAAAGCAATAACATAAAATTGAATTAATACAAAACAAAAGGAAATATAAACTAGTATAGCACATCACGACAGAATGTTTGAAGAAAGCGTCCTTCTTCAGAGACATTCCGGAAACATCTTAAAAAGATAGTTTAGTATGTCGGAAAATTACCTGTAGGTACGCGTGTTCCCTGTCAGGCCGGTGTGCAGGGAAGGTCAGGTCTGAGAAATCAACCAAAAAGTCATAACCTCCCTCAATAGACTGGAAGTTGTCATCTGTCTCTATCATCTGATGGCAAAAGCAGAGGAACAGGTTGTTTGGTAGTTCGTTTGCATTGCCCTGACCTGTTAAAACCTGACGGTCTCTGTCAAACACTTTGGAACATTCTATATTCCAGCCATGGTTTGTGAGTAGGGGCTGTTTGTACAAGCTGGTGATGGATTACTTATCAGTGGATTAATATAATATTTATAAAAGAACGGATGATCGATAAATAAAAGTACCCGCTCTATAAATTGGTTGATACCGGGAGTGATGCTCCGAAATAATCACCCATAGCTGATTCAGTAGAGTTTTTACACATATATGTGACCTTTTCAACGAATTTTGACAATCATTGGACATTATTTAGTTGAGCATAAAATACTTTATAGCATGTATGTGTTACACAAAGGGAGTTTGGCAGGGTATGAGAAAAAATAACTAAGAACCCCCAGTGTAACCTCCAAAATTTTGTTCAATATGGTACAACATTGGCAACAATCATTGACCGCAGATAACCCCGCGGGTTTGAACGTGACATTGACAGAATGGTCTGATCCTTTAAAGGCAACCTTATTTTTCAAAATTATTCTATTTCTCTGCTCTTTATTCTAAACAGTGCAATACAGCAATTACTAGTGCAATGCACATGTTTTAAACTCAATACATTGGCGTACAAGAAAACAAAAGTACAGGAAGGTATGGAATTCATCATCTCTCAGGATTTTTCTATGATCATTTTTGTGTCTTAATGTTAACCAAGAATTATAGATAGCGTAATTTGGAATTGTTACTATGTCACATTTTGAAGCCTTACCAAACTCAAATCCACTTAAAAAACATATGTCACCCTTATTACAAATCTCACAGATAGGGCTTTAATGTTTCCTGACTCATCTCTTACTTTCAATTCGTTAAATAATTACACATATTTGTCAACTGTTTATCAAATATGAACAAGGTAACGGGTACTATACAAAACAGAGCCCCGGAAGCAGTATAATGATTACGAAGCAATACATCTGGTTTGTACTTTAAAGTCCAGGTGTCACGGCGTGTGTCTACATTTACCTAATATATGGAGCTATCCAAATGAAACACGGTGACAATGTTAATTTTGGGTAAGGTGCTACATGTCTTGCATAAATTTGTCAAAAACTGCACTGCCGGATTACATTCCAGCGCAGAGCAGCAGGACTAAAAATGACATCACAAGAGGCAATCCCTTTGCGGTGGGAACAACAAAAGTTTGCTTTGCAAACATCAGTCATTGAAACACGCAGTTTCCCTTTTACTTCATTCCTTATTACCTTCACCAAGAAGGTTATGTTTTCAGTAGCGTTTGTGTGTGTGTGTGTGTGTGTGTGTGTGTGTGTGTGTGTGTGGTTTAGCAAGATAACTCAAGAAGCAGTAAATGGATTGGAATGAAACTTGGTAGGTAGGTAGGTCTTGGTGGGACCTAGAAATAATTAGATTTTGGGCCCCCTGGCGGCTTCCCTAAGTACTGCGGCATACCTTCGGTTATCTCGTGATATCTCGCGATCTGGACATGCTAGGGTCACGAATTTTTAAAGGCATGTAGGTCTTGGGATAGGGAAGAGGTGACATAAGTATGGGTCTCCTAGCTGCTTGTTCTGGAACTGCAGGAGGGAGGATAACTCAATAACCGGTTGACGGATTGTCGTTATATTTTTGGTATGTAGGTAGTTAAAGTGATGCTTGGCATAATCAGATGACAATCATGCAAATAAGTAGCTAATTTGCATAATTATTGAGGAAAATCTGTAAATCTGCTTTGTTCGATAATAGAACTACGTTGCCGAGCAGATCAATGACAACTCACCCTCAGTACCAAGTTGTAGTCCCGAAAGCCGGCCCATTCGTAATAGAACTGGACCCAGTCAGGGTAGGCAAAAATCTCGCTCTCAATACTCTCGTCAATTTTCTCGATGTAGAAGTCAAAATCCCAGCTGTCTTTGTAGATCTTAGTCCCTTCAGGAGGGTCTACTATTGCAATCCTGGGATCATTTTAACATGGTTAAACGTAGGCTTGCCGAGGTATTAATCTAATGAGTTAGCCGTTTGGCGGTTTGTCAGAAGTTAGAGGGTTAACAGAGTTATATATTGCACAACTTTGTGGTATTTAACGTTTGGGTAGTTATTTAATATTTCCTCGTATTAAACGTATGGTTAGTCCATTTTCTCTAAAATAGCAGCAAAAGAACTTCTAAATCTATGCAATGTTAATTTTTTTTGCAAGAAGCACCTTCGCAAATCATGTTTTGCAAACGTCTATTGCAATACGTTAATGACCAGAATGTATTAAATTAGTTATACGTTTTTAAGACAATGATCCGCATTATATTATATATTGAAAATGAAATTAGAGCAGCAGTTAAACAATATCTTATAAAAGATATCTGGCAATTATAAAAGGTAGCTGAAGACTAAAATGAATGCACATAATCAGATGTGGACATCTGTACCCGGGGTTAACGGAGTCCTGTAGAAGCAGAGCTAGGTCCAAAGTACCTCCTGGCTTTGGGGTCCAAGTTCTTATACGGTCTGAATATTTGTTGATCAGAGCGTTCAGCTGGTCAGCCTGGTTCTTGGTGTTGGTGTCCAAGATATACCTGAAACGATAAATATAGTTCTGAAGTTGTTTTATTTACAATTCACTGTTACGACTGATGAAATTTTAATGTTTATTATGATATGCAAATAACATCATCTCTTGTAAAAACAAGAGTTCCAAGACCTCATGTCTGCATGAAATATGGGCTTGATATGTAAATGTAAATTTCTTCCTTAGTTCTGACCTCTACATTAACACAATAAAGGCATCATGACGTTAACTTTTGATAAACTTACACATGTCCCAAGTATGAAATTCCTACTATTTACCACCAAGGATTCACAGAATTTTAGATTAATTATGCAAATTAGGTCCATTCCGTATTTGCATAATGTGCATCTGTTGATATTCCACCTGCCAGAGATTATAAACATTACGTGTATCAAGGTCTTATGACGTAAAACACCGCAATTACAGAATTCTCTCAATAAATATGCAAATGAAGTCATTATTTGCATTTGTATCTAATAGTGTAGATCTTTGTCTAAGCTACGCACATACCTAAAATCATAAGGATACATTGTGAATCTCTCTGCTCTGAAAGGTTTGCCCCCCCCCCCATGGAGTTCCAGAACAAGCTGCTAGGGAGGCCAAACCCACACCTTTTTTCTGACAAGAAAAGCTATCCGCCACTCAGAAATCAAGACCATAGCATGTCCAGGACAAAATATACAAATATCGGAAGTTCTGCTGCAGTACTTCTGCTGAGGTAATTATATTAGTTGATCACATGCCCTACTCCATTACCAAATGTGTATCAGCTGTTTGCATCAGCCCACTTACTTGTCAGCTGGATGAGCCTCCAGAAAGTAGCCAGCAAAGGGGCAGTAGAGTTTCGGGTTGACGTCACGAACCACTTGTGTTTTGTAGTACAGCAGCTTCTTCCTCTCGGTGGCGATGAACTTGGCTTTCCAGTCCTCTGTACCAACAGCAACAACACATTTTCTAATAATTAGTTGGTTAACGTTCTTGTAATGTCTCAATTGCAATAAGTCCACACTTGCTTAATTACCTTTTAGTTTCATAAAGTGGAGGTTTCTATTTTCAGTTTGTCATCCCACCATTCTATCTGACCGTCGGTCAACAAGATATTAAAAAAACAGCTGGATGGAGCGATTTCATACTTGCTGCGTCGGTAGGGTTTGACAAAAACTGTTAAAATGGGAGCTATTGGCTTTCAATTAGCACTACACTGGAACATCCGGGTCTCATATCTCGCCATCTCAAAATACTACGGTATGGATTTTTGGATTGTGTACAGCTCATGTGCTTTGGAAGAAGTCACTTGAGTACATTTAGGCTCACTAGCACTTTGTTTTCAATTGAATTGAGGTTTTGTTTAAAAGTGTTTGAGAGAGGATGAATGAGTGATTTTCAGTATATACGTCGGTAGCTTGAAGGGGCAAGTTAGGCAAAATAAAGCACTTAACATTTTGTGGACTTATCAGGTCGACCCGATACGAACACGATCATACGTCGATCAAGGTTAGACATCCAGGTAATACGATACGCCAAAAAGCAGTTACTTAAGCAAGTGGATATGATTTTGGAAGCGTCAGACGTTTCAGCTAGTATCCACTACCTTTTTTTAAATCTTTATTCACTTTCACACAAACATTGACGTAAACATAGAGCCTCCCTAAACTCTAATACATAAAATAAACGTAATACATGTATCTATAAACAGAAAGTACTCCACTACCTTTCGTCAGTGAAGTTGAAAAGGGAACAAAAGTCAGACAAGTCAAGACAAGGCAAATTAGACAGAAAGCTCATGTTACGAGGGGTGTTCAAAAAGTTATCGGCATCACCTAGAAAACGTCAGGGCAGTAAAAATTTTCTTACACTATTTTTTAATATAGTCCTCTCTAACTGCAATGCACTTGGTCCAGTGATGTTCCAGCTTTATTTTCCCCTTGTGGAAGAAGGTTGCATCTGGACCCCCCAGATTGGCCTTAACCGCATAGATGACGTCATCATTACCATCAAAACGTTGACCACGTAAGTGGAACTTGAGTTTAGGAAACAGGCAAAGTCCGACGGTGCTAGTTCAGGTGAATTGGAAGGGTGGGGTTAGACTGCAAACCCAAATTCGTTTGCGGCTGCAACTAACCCCTGCGTTGTGTGGACAGGTGCATTTTCATCACGCCAGCTAGGTGCTTTCCTCTCCTTTTCTCTTTGATCGTTGTCCTCAACTGTCGCAATTCTGTTGAATAGTACTCCTCATTGATGCTTAAATTTAACCCCTTCGCATGTAGTCAATCATGATTACTTCCTTACTGTCCCAGAAAACAGAGGCCAAAACCAAGTCAACGGATAAAACTCGCTAAAACTTCTTTGGGGCCCGGGAAAAATTCTTGATTCATTGTTTGCTCTGCTGTTTTGATTCGGGGTGAAAGTGGTGAACCCAGCTCATCTTGGGTTACAAATGTTTTGAGAAAATTGCATGGATTGGACTGAATTCGTTCCTTGAAATGTCCCGCCTGTTTAACTTCTGATGTTCAGAAAACATTCGAGGCACCCACCATGCAGACAGTTTGTTCATCCCCAAGATGTTCTACAAAATATTGTGAACTGAGTCATAACACAGAACAAAGAACCTGCTACATGTTGGCCAGTCTCACATCTGTCATTCACTACCATGTGATGGATGGCCTCAACTGGATTGTCCATGGTGCTGATTTGTGGCATCCTGACATATGTTCATCTTTTGTGCTCTCCTTACCGCACTTGTAGCTAGCAACCCACTTCTTTATAGTTGAATAAGAAGGGGAGTCATCACCAAGTGTCTTGACCATGTCTTCATGGATGTCCTTAGGAGACATCCTTTTTTATCGATACACTTGATCACAGCACACGCTTCTGTCGCGGCCATTTTGTGATTTTGCCCTCACCCACCCCATTTTCACGGGGCGTCACGTGCTAATTAATGAATATACAAATTTGAATTTTTGTCTGCGGTGATGTAAGACGTCATAGCATACAGTTATACCAAAGAAAAGGAGTTTGACCTTTATTTTCTAGGTGAGGCCGAGAACTTTTTGAACACCCCTCGTATACCGAACAGGAGCTTAAGTGTTGTCTGTCCTCGGGGCTGGGAGTGCCAAATCTCAAGTGCTGGAAAGATCGACCCGTAATCCCCCTTCCCTGTTGAGGGTGGGGTTGTACATTATTTAATATGTTACCTCTTTAACACCCCGTTCCCACCAGCGTGTTTCACGGCCTAAGATATCCGTGGACTCGAGTTTTAAAGAGTAACCCTGGTTGTGTTGTAGGTGGTGGAAAATAGCCGGGGAGTAGCAGGACTAGCTGAAAAGTAGCTACCACCCTGAAAGTCTCCAAAACCCCTGCTAGTAACATCACACGGGAAGAACGAACCGCCTTTAAAGATTTGGCCACAAATCAAGACATATTGATTCTTCCTGCAGACCAGGGCAGATGCACAGTAGTCTTAGACAGGGAGCAGTACGACAGAAAGGTGTATGGCCTATTGGGAGACATGCCCTTCAAAAAGGACCCCACTAACAAGTTTAAAGGGAAAATAAGTGCAGCACTCAGGAAATTGCAAACTGAAGTAGTTCTGGATCGCCCCACCTACCTAAAACTCAACCCCACAACGGAACAACCCCTTGCTTTTTACGGCCTTCCCAAAATAAAATAAAAATATCTATTGCTGGCTGCCTCCGAAACGGGGAAACGTACACGGCAGAGAACTGAGAACGAAGGATAACTTCACCCAGTTCAACTGTAAAACTTTCAGATTTATGAATACTACCGTGCCTTTCACTGGGAAATTATTGAATGGAATTTAATCATTAGTACCTCGCCTAGTATAGTAAAGTAGAATGGATTTCAATCAATAGGTCTCTTTTACTATAAAGTTATTTTACGATTGTTAACCAGTACGCACCTTGTCTTTTAGCCTATGTTTGTATAATTGATTTTGATAAATTAGCAATAATACCTTGTCTGTTAGGGTATAGAATTGTGATAGATTTTAAGTACATGTATCACATAAGATTTGTATCATGCCCTAATTCAGCCAGATAAGGCTGCAACGGTATGTCTGAGCACGTGTTGCAAATAAACCAGTCATCAATCATCAAAAAAACAAAGTGTCCCTCTACGACCCATAGTCTCCAGTATAGACTATGAGTTAGCAGGTTTTGTAGCCAAGATTTTGGGACCACTAGTGGGTAAATCTCAGGATCATGTACAGAATAGTGCCGACTTTGTCAACAAAATCAAAGAGATTCATGTAGAGGATGATGAAACCATCACTTCGTATGACGTGTGCTCACTTTTCACCTCCATACCACGTAAGGAAGCAGTGTCAGAAGTCAGGGAAGCCTTGGAAGCCGACGATACAGTTGCAGATAGAACGAACCTATCTGTTGACCAAGTTTGTGAACTACTAGAACTCTGCTTAGGATACACATACTTTACCTACAACGGACAGTTCTACCAACAAATGCACGGCTGTGATATGGGATCACCAGTTTCACCAATTGTTGTAAACCTGTACATGGAGAAGTTTGAAAACAAAGCCCTCAGCACTTTTAACCCTACCTAGGACCGGGGGGGGGGGGGGCTAAAAGTGCCCGCGGCAACTTTGATGTCACCTAGCGTCTGAACGGCTAGCCGTAGAACGGCCAAACTTGGTGACTTTTCCTAGAATATTGTTGGCAACAATTCTCTATAATTGGAATAAGATAATAATTTTTTGTGTTGCCATGGCAACGGGTTTCTGACAGGCATTTTTTGCTAAATTTAGTACTTTTTGTTTCAACAATAGAATTTTATGGGTTTTATGTCAAGTTACTCATGGTTTCTAATATTAATAACATCCAATATAATTTTATGTAAATTTTATCATTAAATATGCATAATTTATGCTAATTTGATGACGTCATTGGCCAAAATCCAAGATGGCGGACCATATCATTAGAACAGGTATATACAGGTTATTTTCATTAAAATTTCATCAATACTTCCATTTCTTTTTCCAAAAAAGGTTTAATGAAGGTCTTTAGTATGTTTACGATGTATTTTAGGCTTTATCATGAAAAAAAACTATTTTTCAAAATTCAAGATTGATGATCCAAGATGGCGGATATCTTAAATATGCATGACGTCATTTTTGTCACCTATGGGCAACATAAGACTTAGTACACCATAATATTCTGTCATAAACACTTTTGGTACAGTTATGTTGAATACCATTTAGTTTTCAGGGAAAAACCTATTTAGACGGTTTTGGCCAATAAAATCACATTAATGACGTCATAATGACGTCATATTACATCATAACGACATAAAAATTGTAGATATGATAAATTTTCACTAGTACACCATTCTCTGAAAATTTGGTGGTCATACGACATACCGTTCGCGAGTTCTTAGGGGGGGGGTCAAAGAGCCCCCCCCCCCGGTCCCCCCATGTCAAAAAAAGCCCGGTCTAGGTAGGGTTAATGGCACTCTCCTGGCCAACTGGTTTCGATATGTAGATGACACTTGGTGCAGACTGAAAAAGAGGGTAGCTGCTGATTTCTTTGACCACATCAACAAGATAGATGACAACATCAAGTTCACACAGGAGCCAAGCCATGACAACATGCTCCCTTTCCTAGACACCAAAACTATCGCAGAGGAAGATGGTAACCTTCGTTTTGAAGTGTACAGGAAACCCACCCACACTTATCAATACCTGGCCTTTGATTCCCATCACCCATCACAAACTAGCAGTGATCAAGACTCTCCTTCATTGTGCAGACAACATTATCACTTCAGACCAAGACAAAACGGACGAACATAGACACCTCCGAGGTGCCCTGGCTAAGTGTGGCTACCAAAACTGGACTTTTAAAAAAGCGTTCAAACCTTTGGATCAGTCTAGAAAACACAGAAGTGTGAACTGTAAGTGTAAACCATTGACCAACAAAAACAAGGTCAATATCACTATTCCGTATGTCCAATGAGTATCTGAAAAACTCCGACGGATCTTCCAAAACTTCAACATAGCCACTAACTTCAAACCTCACTCAACCCTCAGAGAAAGACGGGTGCACCCTAAGGACCGACCTCACAAAGGTACCAAGGCGAATGTTATTTACAGACTCAAATGTGAGGAGCCCAATTGTAACAACACCTACATTCTTGTAACAACAACGGATGGATACTATCAAAAAAATTAAATCAGTGAAATTGAAAACGTAATGCCTACCTTCTTTTACATATTTTGGATAATATATCATTGTTACCGGATAAAAAGACGCAACTGCACTGTAAACACATTGGGTTTTCTACAAAAAGAAAGTATACGGGTCAGTTAAGTCAAAACGTTTGAACATCACACAGATCAAGACCTAAATGTTTAATCACACCCCCCTTTTTGTAGTTCAACCACATCAGGTCTTGAATTCTATGGTTCAACCCTTTAAAATATCATATTGAAAATGACAAGCCAAAGTAAGTCCATGTGTTAATTAACGGATGGCCTTTTCATTTCATACTTGTACCCGACACGTCCATTTTGGCATATAAAATATATATTGTCCATGTTTGTAATTTGAAAAAGAGCTATTATCGCAGCAATTTACCTCTAGTCATTTAGGTACATTTGCTCTTACCAGTGTACCGTCCTTTGAAGGATTCAAACGTCATTGGAAACCCAGAGGCTCCTCCCGCAAAGTCGCTCATCATGATGTCCACGTTTTTAGGCAGACGCCCACCGTTTGGCTGTGTGCAGTCCACGGTGTTCAGGATCAGGTGACCTGACAAAAGAAAACACATTTTCTTCTCCACTATTTCCCCCCTCCCTGACACAGGGCATTGATCCGCGCAGAGGGGTCATTGATGAGCTCTCCCAAACCAACTGCAAACAGTGTTGTTATGATATACTTAAAACTATATTGGCATTTTCCGGCTAGGACGTTTTAATAGACCCACATGGGTTTTTATTTTATTAATTTTTAGATATAGGACTTAAAAAAATGTTCACTTATCTGTACATTTTTGGTCCTGGGGACCTGGTATTACACCCAAAAAAATTGATATGAGTGTGTTTCATATAGGTAACAACAATTCATTATAAATTTCGGCATTCACCCCTTTCAAATTCAAATGATTTGGGAATATTCGATTTTTTTCAGGTCAAAAGTCACTGTGTAGTGTGGGTGCGTGACTAATAAGAATGGAATTTGGAGTGTGACCATGTTTGGGCATGGGGGCTGGCCCAAATATGGGCATGTATAAAGGTATGACCATGTTTGCAGATGTGACTGTTTATTGGCTGTTTACTTAATTAATTTATCTGCTAATGGCCACCTGCGCATGGTAGGAACATACGTATAATTGGAACAAGTATCGGCCAGGTGTGTCTTGGCCAGGTGTCGGTGGAAATATGTCACATAACCTACATATTTATATACCTTCCTATTTTTAACCAACATTTAAAATATTTTAGCCAAATTAGCTACAGATACATGCAGTTGTGTGGTAGGTAAGGCCATTGACTTTTTGTTGACATTGTTCCTGGTAAGTATGGTGGTCCTCTGTAAAAGTTTGGCGTAAGATTTTACGTAGCTGCAATCATGCACGTACATGGGTAAATACGTAACTGATATGATTCTTCCAACTAGGACCATAACATAATGTGGGCTGACTAGATAAATTCTTAAACAGGGAGGTATCTTTTTTTTTTTTATTCTTACGTTTTGGCTGTCTTTTGGTAGGGAGACAGGTCCATTTTTTTGTACGGGGGATGTGATTAAGCCATTTGCTGCCTTCCTAGTTTTCTTTTTTCCTTTGTTAAAAATGTTTTTAGGTTTGTTTAAGGTGGTCGTTAGATCTCCAGAAGTTGTAGTTGTCTCTTTTCCTGTCGTCTGAGGCTATTGCAGGGGTTGAAGTAGGTGTTTTTGACAGCTTACTTCTTCGATGTTCACCATATATTTCCTTGGTGGCTCGGAATAGTGGTGTGTGTGCACAACAACAACAACAACAACAACAACACAACAACAGATCGATCATCGATCATGACTGATCGAAAGGCTGATAACCGCTAGTGGCATGTATGATGGGTCAGTCCTACCTTTGTAGTCCACCAAGATGCAGGTGTCCATGTCAGGATGAACGCCGTCCATCAGGATCATAAAGCGGAGGTCAGCATTGATCTGTATACGTATTAATGGACCGATCAAACTAACACGTCATTACTCGTTTAAGTAGAGTATAAAGAAAACCACAACAAAGTCTAAAATTTTGACCTCATCACACAAAATGTATCTTTTAAAACTAGAAAGGCCAATATTTGCTTTGGAGCAAATACAGCGATGGGTTCACCACATTTTACGACATGGCAGGGAAAGAATGAGAAACACAAGGGAAAACAATGATTTACATTGATATAACTATAATATGAAGTAACATACAACTAAAACAACAGTTGGATAGCTATTCCCTACTTTATTAGTTAGGATTTTTAATTGCATAATGCAAACTGTTGATTTTCAAAATAAAAAAAAAACGTTCATGCCCCGCATTCCAATGCTGGAGCAGAAAAGCTTGAAATACCTACCAAAACACTTGAATAAAGACATACTGTCAGTATGGAAATGCTCTGTGCAGGTGTTAATCAAGTTAAATCCCAACAGCCAATCAGCAAGAAATGCTCTGTGCAGGTGGAAATGCTCTGTGCAGGTGTTAATCAAGTTAAATCCCAACAG